TGCAGACAATGATAACTGCACTCTTATTTAGGTCATTTACATTTACAGTCTGTCGAGTGGCAAAGATACTACATATTTCATTGATCGGTTGATAAATATATGTAAGCAGAGAGTCTCAGTATTATTTTAGGATGAGCGTTACAGAACTTAATAGCATCATTCATAACATGAATGATCTATTACTTATCTTCTGATGTCACCTATGCCATTGTTTAAAAGTGCTCTTTTACTACATTCTGCATAGGACACACAATTTCTACACAGAAGACAAATGTGCAAATAATTACCCCATAATTATAATTGCTTGAATCTTCTGCATTTAGTTTCCATTTAACCTCACCAACTACTCATTCTAGAAATCTATATATAATCTATCTCAATATAATATTGTAGAGATATTACAAAATATAGTCCATAAAATTTGTGTGGTTTACTTTAACAGGCTAATTGTGCATATCCTGAACTGTAAACTAGCCATCCATGTTGTGACTTAATATGTTGTATGAATCTAGTTTATGTGAGTATTTTACATGTATTGTGCAAACCAAAGATTTGGGCCCAGTCAATGGTCTGCAATATGACTTATACAACCCGCCAGAGTTATCATTCTGAAAACTGCTAAAACATTGCTCATAAATAGCCTAAAAGGACATATTTTGTTTTGAAACTCTTTTTAATGCTGGTAGTTCCCAAGTTGAAGTAAAACATCCACAGAGGTGGAATAAGCAGAAATGACAGTTCATCCCCTTCCACAAGATCACCTTTAATAGTGCTGTTAAGAATGAGGAAGCAGGGCAAGTCAAAAAGGTAACTGGACCCCACCTCCCCCAATCCTGGGACACACATATGTTGCATTACACGCCAATCTAGACAAGACAGTAGCTGTATGGCTAACTAGTGTCAATGGGGCTGGTGCGTTCGTGAGTGCCTGCATTTAAGAAGTGGTCTATAATGGTACGTAAGGTGAGCCATTCTATTTGAGCATGCTCACCTTGGTCATCAAAGATCTGGCTCACCCAACGATTTGACCAGAACTTTTGAGACCCTGTCACATTTAGCATACAACAAAAAAGAATGGTGACCCTCAAAAATGGACCATTGCTTGTTTTTAACTCAGCAGTGATGTTGTTAAATAATGGTAAACTCTTGAGCAGGAAAGTCTGTGCCATGACCTCCACTTTTGTTGTGGCAAAAGAAAAAAAAGAAAAAGGGAGCAGTTGTTGGATGGAGACATGGCTTGCAAGGAAAAAGAGAGACTGCCATCAAAAAGACTGGCATGCAGACTTCTTTTGTGTAACTTGTAGGCTGTCTATGAAAGAATGGTTTCTTGGTCATCACACTTCTCCAGTTCAGAAACTGAGATGTGTTGTCCGCTGGTGGAGATAAATCTTGCCCCTTCCTACACCCTCCTCCACTCATCCTGGTAGGACAGGCTGATGCAACTGAGTCCATGAAATCTTTCACTGATTTTGACAAGAAGAGAGAAAGAGAACAATTTGATGCATAGCAAATTCCTCAGTGGTTTCCCCCACCCTGTTAGTGAGCCTGAGTAGGATTCCCTGGCTTTTGTAGGTTCTGCCATCCATAGTGTTGAGGAAGCAATTGTCAGCATGCAATTTCTTCCAATGTGCCAAGTGTTGTCTGCAGTGGGACTGTCACAGTGTGGCTCGTGGGATCAGAGTGGTTTGACAAGGGCTCACACGTGCTCTGTGAACAGAAAAAGGAAAGACGACCAAAGAAGAATAAGTGGACAAGTCCATTCTTCAAATCTTACCTCAATTAAGAACTCACTAAATAGTTTTAGGCAGTCATTTCTCTTTCGGTCTTAACTGTCTACCTCCAAGATAACAGTATTGGCATAGCTTTCAGAGATACAATGTTGAAGGAGTTTTGCTATGTTGTATAAATGCAAGGTATTATTAAAATCACTATATGGGGTTTTAATATCCTACTACAACAGGCCAAAAAGACAGGAATTTCAAGGATATAAATAGAGCCGATTTCCCATTTATATTAAGCTACGCCTCTCATATTTTTCTCAAGTTGTGATAAAATTCAGATCTGATGGCTTCAACACCAGCTACTCCTCCCCACATTCCAGTCAGGGTTTATTTGCTTATTGTCTTGATTGTTTAAATTTTATGGAGAATGTAAAAGCTTGCACACTATTCTACAAATTCTGACTTGTCCTAATAAATTGCCTAAACATGACGGTTCTCAAAATACAAGCGTGTTTCAACCTACCATTTTCAAATGGTGAATCCTGAAAGCCCCAAGGAAAAATTCAGAAAGGGTTTTGATGGCTGAGGGAATCACATTCTGTATTTGTACGGACACGGCTTATTAATGACACAACATATATTTGAGCGAAAATGCATGAACGCATGCATTTAAAATGTTTAAATCTTGTTCATATTGGTATGGGAGTTACAACACTTCTTTAATTTATCTCATTAAAATCAATGGAATGTGAAAGAATTTAATTTGGGCTAGGTTTATATACACCTATGTACATGCACATGCATGTAGACACTCACACACGCATATACACACAAATGAAGACAAATACCCGTGAAGCTTGATATTGGAAACAATTACACTTTGAAATTTGAAATAGGATTCATCGGGGGAGGGAGAGAGTATAAAATTTTGAAAAACATTTTTTTTTTAGGATTTCAAAGTCACATGCCTTCTTAAATCCAATTAAAAACACTCCCAAATAAAGATTGAATTGTGTTGCAATTGTTTCCTCATAAATGAATTCTGTTAAGTTCAATAGAACTTACTCTCAGATAAGACGTACACAAAATTACAATATCCAATTTCACTGTTTTTGTTGCATAAAAAGAATCACTCTTTGTAGCCGATAAGGTATGCTTAGAGGGGCACGGTGGCCAAGCGGTTAAGACGTTGGGCTTGTTGACCGGAAGATTGGCAGTTTGAGACCAAGTACAGTGTGACAGAGTGAGCTTCCATTACTGGCCCCAGCTCCTGCCAACCTAGCAGTTCAAAAGCTTGTAAATGCAAGTAGATAAATAGGTACCACTTCGGTGGGAAAGTAACAGTGTTCTGTGTACCTTCGGCACATAGTCATGCTGGCCACATGACCACAGAAGCGTCTTCGGACAATGCTGGCTCCTTGGCTGTGAATCGTCGGAGATGAGCACCGCCCCTTAGAGTCAGACACGACTGGCAGGGGAAACCTTTACATTTACCTTTTAAGGTATTCTTAATTTCTTTCTTGCAATGATGACAACTGTAAGATTGCTAAAGCCCTGCCTATAACAAATCAGGTTGTTAGAAGAGGAGGGAAAGGAGCAGGAATATTGCATCTGGGCTGTAAAAATCCAGACAACCAATAATGGCAGCAAAAGGTTAAAATTTTGGACCTCTGATAATTATCTGGAGTTTTGCACACCAGATTTGGTAGCCTACCGAAGAGACATATGTATCTCTTTTTCCTTTAGGATGCACTTAAAACAAACAAAACAACCAACAATAAGATGCCTTCCCAATGAAAGTCAACTCTTTTGAATAAGGCAGACTTCTAACGAATAGGCTAATAAAATTATTTTGAAATAGCTGTTTGTGAAGCAATAAGATAAAGTGGTCATTTTAAATCATGTGGGCACACTTCCGATCTGCAGCATTTATTTTGTTGATTATGAGATCAGTTACGGTAATTGAAGATCGTAAGGAAAGCCTCATTTTGGAATTGGAGGTGGAATTAAATAGCCATTGGAGTTCAGGGACTTGATTTAAAAACTCTAATTTTTAACTGTTCCTTTACTCCTCACCCATTTCCATATTGCTAACGTTTCTACCTCCTCTAAAGCCCCTCAACAAAGCTGTCTGAATGTTCACGTTGGTCAATCTCAAAAGCTGGCAACATACAGGGAACATCAGGAGCTAATCAGGTTTCATCGTTTCCCTTCAAGGGGAGACTCCAAAGAATATCGTGCTATTGGTATCTAATGCACTGAGCAATAATCCCCCTCACACTTGTATAGCCACTGTCCATGAAAAAAAGAAATAAAATAAATTGTATAATAAACAGTAAGCATTAAAAATTTCCAAAAGCTTCCTACATGCTTTGCTTCCATTCCTCTGTGACATTTAAACCCCCCCCCCTGTGAGCTGTGAAGGTGAAATGTTGCCATGCCTGCAATTTTGCAATCAACTGGAAATGGGGGGAGGGGGGAGAGGGGGAATTTTAACTAATGCATATAAGGAGAAACAAGCTTCAGGCATGGAACTTCTATGGGGGTGAGGGGGAGCCTAAGACCCAGGGCGACTCAAGAGTTCTGCCAATGGGAAAATGTATTCCTAACAAGTTTTGCAGAGTCTTAGTAATTCAAATTTCCAGTTTTGAAGCAATTTCAAATAAATCATAGGAGTATCAGAAGAAAAAAAAAGAGTCAGCTTGCCTTATGAGAAGATGGTATGGAATCAATCAGGATCAGAGCTAATCACAAAGTGGTGCAAAATGATAATATTGAATGGCTCTCAGGAATCCACCTTTTGGAAGGTTTCTTCATTTAAGTAGCATTACATAGGGCAGAAATGGGATCTATTATTCAGAAATCCTTGCCAAGCCAATGCAAGTCAACTCGAGATCTGGAAATAAAGCTATCCAGTGCTAACTTCTGCCCATCCCTTATTTAATTAACAGATGACCATTTGCTCCAGGGCTCACTCAGAGCTTTTTTGTCAAGCCAGAAGTCAATCTGTACAATGTGAATTTAAAAAAGGACCCTCTGAGTAAATGCAAATGACTTTGCCTTCTGCATACGAATAACTACAAGAAGCTGCTGCATCTGAGATTGGAGGGTAAACTACTGAAGCAGAAAGCATAAACTCGAGGCCCAGTGCCACTCTGTGCAGAAATTAAGGTCATCTCCCCTGCCAGATTGAAAATAGACTCTGCCAAGGAATATGCCAATGTGCTATATGTTGGCTTCTGCTCTTCTGAGTCCTGGCAGGGATGTGGGCCTACTTACCACATTCTCATCATGGCTTCCTTCTTCCTCCTCTGGGCCAAGAAGATCAAACAGTTTCTCTTTGATCAGCTAAAAGAAATAGGAGAAAGGATAAGATTTTTAGTTCCAGTAAAAATCTGATACATCCCAATCCTCTGACAGTAGAAAGAGAGGTCCTCTTCTTTACAGAGCACTGTACTGGATTAATTATTTATTCTTAATCCATGTAGTAAATTCAGGGCACTGAAGCCTGTTTGCATAAGAAGTCTGATCCAGTACTCTTTTTTTTTTAATTTAAAATTTTATTCAGCTTTGTTCACCCAGTTCTAAGGCTGCTCTTGCTTTCTTAAAGCCTAGAAATGCATTTTGTTTAAAAATAAAAAGAATAATGCTAAAATTTAATGTTAAAGTTGTAAAATTCTTCTTTCCATACTGCAATTCTCATGAGTGCAATTTTCAGCAAATGATTATTATCTTAGTTTTGGATTACTTTCCAGACATAATTATATTGATCTAACCAGGGGGGGGGGGGAGGGGGGGGGGGGGCATTTTTCAAAGCCCTGCGTCTGAATTATCTCAGAGAAAGGCAGATGTTGCAAGGCAAACCTGTATGCAAAACAGGTTCTCTTGCCAAATTCAACCAAGTGAATCACGCTATGATTTTCTAATCTGTTCCCAGAAACTGCTTTGTTTAACAGGCCCTAAACTGTATGCACTGGAGAGATCCTACCCCATACCATGCTTGAGCATCCAACTAACTGCAGTCCAGGAACAAGACCTGAAAATAGATACACATTTTTTTGGACTAGTATTTATTCATTTTTGCTTCTTTTGCCTTTGCTTGCAGGGAAAAGTTTGATGCCAGCCAAACCTTAAATTCTACTTTTCATTGGGCTGGTTATATATAGTACGGTTAGGACATTTTGGCTACTGGTATATCTTACCCCAACCCTAAACTGTGTCTTTTTGAGGATTCCACAGTATGGAGAGAGCCAGCCATAGATGTGGGAACCAAGATCCCAAATCACTTTTTCCTTCCAAGGTTTATTTGTTATTAACTTCTTCTTTTGTTAAATTTATATCATACTTTTTCTCCAGGATCCTAAGCAATGTATAGCACACTCTTCCACAAGAATAACACTGTAACATTTGAAAGGGGATTACGTCTGAGTATAAGAATCCCTGCTTTTCATAGAGTAGATTCCAGGCTCAAGTCCCATCATCTCCATGCAGAGAACTCTTTTATTCCGTGTGGACAATAATGAGCAAACTACACCGATCACACTTGTAGAAACAAATCCTTTGAGACAGCCGGTGTGATGTTGGCATTAAGTTGCTGCATTGCAGATTAGGAAAACCCAGATTCAATTTCACCCCAGCAACATAATCTTAATGGATAACTCTGGGTCAATTTTTATCTCTTTCTCTTTCTCTCTGCAAAATCTGGCACCTCAGACGGGGAAAACAAGAGAAATTCAACATGAGGGTCGTGCTATTTGCTGTTGCTGGTGATGGGCATCCAGAAGAAGCAGGGAAAACACCCCCAAGTCAGCAGTGTTAGCTTAGAAAACAGGCAGCAGTTGTGGTATTGCTTTCTATCCATGCTGCAACCCCTCTCCCCTTAATCAGTGAGTGTGAGCAAATGTTAACAGCTACCAGCCTATCAAGGCACATGCTTTCTTATAAAACTCTGCAAAAAGGAGTGGATAATCCACAGGCTGCTTAGAGCTCCTGGATACCTTTTCCTGTTCTCTCTCTGCTTGCCTTTGGACAGATGCAATTTTCTGATGCCAAATGATGAAAAGCAAAGCAAAGATAAAAGCTGCTTAATCCTTCAGATAGGTTCAACATAGTCAAAGTTTTCATAACAGCCCCCATCATCACTTCATCCCAAATCAGATGAAATATTAGGCTGTGGTTCTGCCTTAACCACTGGAGTGTGTGTGTGTGTGTGTGTGTGTGTGTGTGTGTGTTGAGTACCCAATTCAATGAGTTTCAAAGTGATTGAGTACCAAGGTACCATACCCCCCCCACACGTTCATATTAACATAAAATATGTATTTAATGTCTTACTCAGGTCTTATTTTTAGCTAAATTACATTAAAATGCATACTAGTCTCTCTGTGTGGAAAGAAATAGCATCAGGATTTGTGCTACCCTTCTGGACTCAAATATATTCAGGAAACACAGATTCCAGAGCTTACTATACTATTGGATCAAAGGCCCATGGATGAAATCTGTTCTTGCATCCCCTCGGCATGAAAATACATGGCCATTGGACTACATTATTCGCTACCTCAGGGAAAGGGCTGCAACTTACCTCATAAATATAGTCAAATACTTCCAGAATAGTGAGGATACTAGCACCAATAAAAAGACCCATCTGACCCCCAATATCACCTGGGGAAGAAAGGGGAAAAAACAGAAATAGACATTTTAATCTTTTATTTTGGTGCACATCAAAGTTAATTGCTGGGACTGGGAGGCCCTATCTGGAAATAAGGCCCCTCAGCAAAGTAAATTAAAATATATTTTGAGCATTTTTATGCTGGCTGTAAAGAAAAATATTTTCAATTATAGCTGTGTAAATTCTGCATCAATTGGCTCCTGAGGCAAAATCAAATCCACTCTTCTCCTCTTCATCAGAGTTTCAACTTACTTGCTCCAACATTCTAGAGATGATCATTCCTGTTCCTACTCTTATTCCTGTAGTACTTCACTCTTCCCCAGTTTAACAAAGAGCTAAACTAAATTAAACTGCCAGGTGCTTGAACATAATGACTCATTTTAACAGGTCAAAAGCCTATCCAAACCAAGATCTCAGTGTATAGGATTGCCATAAGGTATAGGTGTCAATTTAAAAAAAAAATGAATGAGTTGGATTAAAGAAAAGAAGTAATAAAAGAAAAAAAAAACCCTACAGCTGTTGTAGAAGTGTATGCACACAAACATACAGCCCTTCCTCTTTTTCCTGCCATTATCACAGTTGATCTCTATACAAACAGGAAGAAATCTCTCTGTTTATTGTTTAGAAAGTAAAAGGCTTACATCTCCATGACAACAGGGGATATGATTAAGTGCAGCCAACAAAGGCTTTGGACATACAAGCCAAAACTCAAAACTGTCTTCTTTTCACCCAAACCACTTGCAAAGTTTGGGATATGACTTCCTAAGCCAGTATTTATTAGGTGGATGGACGGTAAACCAGAGCTTCTATCATGGCAAATCATATTTTCTCATCTTCTTCAATATTGTTTCAGTTATTGGTTCTATGATTTGAGGTGCAATCCCATACTTAGAATACCTAAATAAGGGCCAGAGGATCCAGGAAGAGACTTGATATATTAATGGAAATCCGTATAAAATAACAAATATTTCAAATACTGTATAGCAACAGAGAGATATGGCTCTGTAGGAGGTTAGCACCCACCCCTTTCCTGGAAGAGTGAAATATTTTGGGAAATATTAAAAAGGCAGAATATTATGTTTCCCTGTATGAGAAATGGAGAAGCATGTTTTTAAAGACAGAGCAGCTCCCACCTTCCTGCTCCCACCCTTTTGTTAACGGGTCAGAGGCAGAAACTCAATCTTTGTCAATGGACCTCATCTGCAAGACAATGGGACCCATCTAGGACAAAACTCACCACATGGCACCTGGAAAGATTACATCAGCCAGCAAGGCTAGCTAAGACTCCCAACCCCCTGGGAGTCTGATAACCAATCAGGATACTCTTTCTGGGCCCCAGGAAGTTCAAAGTCAGAGAGAGCATAAAATCCAAAAACTCGCTGTATCTGCCCTTTTTCTGTCAGGAACACAAGCCATGTGATCCTGTCCACCATTAAACCATCTTTCCAAGCAGTCTCCATGTTTCCAGTGTCTTTTTCTCCACTTGGAGCAGAACCCAGGATATTTCTTCCAACAGCTCCTTTAAGAGATTGGTGCAACTCTGTATAAATCCAAGATCTGATGCAAGAAACTTTCCTGTTTTGGATTCTAGTCTCACCTTTCTTTGCCTGCTTGGCAAAAAAATGATGTTGTTTCATTTTTGTTTCATTTTTTCCCTTTATTGTTTCATTATTTTCTAAGAACCGTAGCCTCCTTGCCATCTCAAATGTGCTTATTGGGCCTTAATTAAGAAAGCTTCACATCAAGACTGGATAAGGCCCAACAGAGAAAATAAGAATAACGGGCATGGCTGATACTCTTCTGACAGATAGATTTACCTTGAATATTTAAAGTGGTGCAAGCAGATAGATCTTCATTTTCCAATGTTCCCATTTTCCCTGCATAGACTGGCATAAACTTCATGTATGCATACTATGATTCTGAGCTGGTGGAATCAAGATTTTGCTGAGCTCGGCATAAGATAAAGGTAAAGGTAAAGATAAAGGTTCCCCTCGCACATATGTGCTATTCGTTCCTGTCTCTAGGGGGCGGTGTTCATCTCTGTTTCAAAGTCGAAGAGCCAGCGCTGTTCGAAGACGTCTCTGTGGTCATGACTGTGGCCAGCATGACTAAACGCCAAAGGTAACACTGTTACCTTCCCACCAAAGGTGGTCCCTATTTTTCTACTTGCATTTTTTTACATGCTTTCAAACTGCTAGGTTGGCAGAAGCTGGGACAAGTAACGGCACTAGGGATTCGAAATGCTGAACTGCCAATCTTTCGATTGACAAGCTTTGATACTTAGCCACCACATCCCATAGAAGCCTCTTAATAATGCAAGTAATCCTTGATTTATAACCATTTATTTAGTTCGAAGTTACGACAACACTGAAAAAAACTGACTTAACAATGGGACCTCACACTTATAACCATCATAGCATCCCATAATCATGTGATCAAAATTAAGTACTTTTGATGATTGCAGTGTCCCAGGGTCATGAGGTTGCTTTGTGACCTTTGCAGCTGGTTTCCAACATGCAAAGTCACTGGGGGAGCCTTTGGATCCACTTAATATAGATGTGATTCACTTAACAACTGCAATGATTTGCTTAACAAAAGTGGCAAAAAAAAGGTCATAAAATTGGCCGTGGCTCACTTAACAATTGCCTTGCTTAATAATGAAAATTCTGATCTAAATTGTTGTTGTGTGTCGAGAACTATCCGTAGACCAGAGTATAAGCCAGAGATGATAAAGGCTCTTGGATCAGATTTATTCAGTGGTCAAAATAATAAGGAGAGCCATTGGCATTTCTTAGGGCTTGTTGGGTTTGTCTATCTTTCGCTCTCCCTGTGCCCATGTTGCTTTGTTTCTGCTTCCTGTTTTTCCTCACCAACTGACAGGAGTTCCCTGGGATTAGCTCATGGGGCTGAACTCCACATTGCCTACAAGTTTCAATCGTGTTGTGTATATGCACAGAATATTTACTCACCAAGTAATGCTGCCACTTCATATGCTTTCCGCTGCTCAATGGTCTCATAGTTAAGAGCTTCGAAGAATATATCCAGTACAAGTATATTCTCCCTAAGGAAAGAAAACAGGTAGCCCAGAGGACATCAAGACGAAGCAATTCATTCCTTGAGAGTAAGTAATTGGTGGAGAACATGCCAGTGTTCCCTGTGTTGTTGAACTGAAATTCCCATTGAACCAAATCATTGCTATAATTCAAACAGTACATATATCCCATTCCTCCCTTATAGTTTCTTGATAACCAGAACATTCACTCTTCTCTTATCTACCACTTTTTCCTGAATACTTGTTCCAAGTGTGCAAGTGATTAAGGATAAAAGCTGTTTATAGGCAACCCTGATTCCCTTGGAGAAGAAGGATGCCACAAAGTCCCAGTAAACAATAGACATGCCTCACTACGTTTGATCTCCCTTCTCAAAACTGGCACTTTCCATATATGCTGGTGCTATAATTCACAGAATGCTTAAAATTACAGTCCTACAAAATTGTACCAGCTTGGAAAAGGCAGCCCGTCTTTCTGTTTCCCACAATAAACAATGATATGGAGGCAGGGCTTTGAAGGCAGTAACTCTCTGAAGCTATTGCTATTCTCAAAACTGATAGTCAGGTGCAGACTCTAATGAACCTGGAAGATCCATGCTAATAATTTTACCAATGGTCTCTAAAATATAGGGTTTGGGGGCTGTGGATTTTGACTTCGCCATTTGTATAAAGCTCCTTGGCTTCAAGGAATATTGATTGCAAAAATAGCCTACCAGGACACAATAATTGATTATAGGGACTAAACCCAAGATACAGTGTACAGTGTAAAATCTTGACTTCCAATAAATCTCTTCTGAACAGTACAAGGATAGAACTTTTGCATTTTTCATCAATCTAATTTACTGCTTGTTTTGACTGTGTACCTACTTCTGGATCTCCTGACCTTTAACTGGAGACTTTAGATTGTGTCTTGTTCTACCTATGTTTGATTAGGCACTTGCTTCTAGCACTGAACCTTGTTTGATACTCTGGAAACCCTAAATTTTTCTGATTGGATTTCTGATTCCAAGTCCAGTTGGATGGCTTATTTAGTGGCCTTAGTAGCAAGTAACACTTCATTCTTCTGAAATTCTGAAATCTAACAAAACTGAAAACTGATACCTGAAAGAATCCCAAATGAACAAATCCTAACTGATACTTGACAATAACACCATAAGTTTTGTTATTACACAATCTCCCTTTGATTTACTTTACTTCATAAAATAATTATTCCACCTCTGTTTAAACCAGGATTACGTACGAGATATATTTCTCTGACTTGTTAAACTTCTTCTCAAGGTATTTAGCTGAGGTCTTGCTGGGGATCTTAACCATGGACAGCTCCTTGTTGTAACGGGTCAAATTGCATGGGGTTTGGCACTCACAATAATCATTTCCTTTTTCACCGAGAAGCACTGTAAGGCAAAGCAAGAATCAGGTAGGTTGATGAGAGTTTAAGATAGACCTGCATTATCTAACATGATGTCTTTCAGTTGAGGTTGACTATAACTCCCATGGTCCCACCCAGGCTATATCAGAGGGGTTATATCAGGGGTGAAATCCAGCAGGTTCTGATAGATTCTAGAGAACCGGTAGCGGAAATTTTGAGTAGTTTGGAGAACCAGAAAATACCACCTCTGGCTGGCCCCAGAATGGGGTGGGAATGGAGATTTTGCAATATCCTTCCCCCAGGAGTGGGGAGGGATTGGGGATTTTGCAGTATCCTTCCCCTGCCATGCCCACCAAGCCACACCACACCCACCAAGCCACGCCCACAGAACCGGTACTAAAAATATTTGGATTTCTCCACTGGGTTATATGCTCATGAAACTATAGAATATGCTTTTGGAGAAGGCAGATTTATACCCACACAATAATAGCTAGGCCAATGTCCCAAGAATGTTTTATGTAACTCATGGCAGAGATAGCTAGGAACCTATTGTTCTTCCTTCTGTTCACCAAAGACGTTCATTGAAGTTCTATTGTTAGCAATCATAGCTAATAAAAGCCACTGATAGGGTAATCCATTATGAATTTTCTCCTTCTTTTAAAAAGTCTATCAAAAGTCCAATTTATATGCTGTAGTGATAGTGAGCTTGCTGCCAGAAATAGACTCACCCTTCCTTGGTGGGTTGTTTTTTTTTTTTTTTGCAGTAATATATGAGAACTTGTTCTTGATTATACTCCATGCTCAGATGTATGTAACTTTAGAAATGAAACAGAAATTTACAAATTGTTCCATGTTTAATATATGTATCAAACTCAAAAACATCTGATTCACATTCAGAATGCTAAATGCTGAGTTTGAAACAATTGCCCTTATCATTCCAAATGTGTGCCAAGCTCAAATTTGAAATATCCCAAGCTTAAAGCACTCCATTTTGAGTTCAACATGCAATGATCTGATGTCAAAGGAACAAAATCAGCTTTGGGAGGTTATAGTGTTAAGCAGAGCTGATGAGTGCCTAATCCTTTCCTTTCCTACCCCAGAAATCATCTGCCTTGTGGAACAAACCACTACGTGAATAAAGATACCATAGAAGAATGAAGAATGAGTGAGATGTGAATCTAAATAAATACTATGTTAATACTGCAGCTGCCCAGAGGTGTTCACAAAGTTGAAATGTCAAAAATAAAATCTTGCTTTTGAATTCTGTCTTGATGAGAATTCTTTACAGTACATGTCTGTAGAGATTCTCAGTCATCCAGGTCATGGTTGTCCCAAAGGTGCTTTTTCAGGAGGCAACTGGACTTTCTTGTTTTTTCTTTGAAAACATTTCACTTCTCATCCAAGAAGCTTCTTCAGCTCTGACAGGATAGTGGGGAATGGAAGGATTTATATTCCTTGCAGACAGCTGGTAATCTGCATCCTTTTAGAGAGTCTTTGAAGTTCTTGGAGGCTTATCTGTGTCCTCAGGGTCACCTGAGCAGTGCTCCTGGTTCCTATAGTCTGCATTTTTTTCCCTCTGGAAAACCATTCCTACTCTCACACCATTCCAAGGGTGTTCTCTACAGTTCTCTTTTAGCTATACAATTTGGGATGAACAGTTAATTTGGGCACTGCACATTTAAACATGAACTTAGAGGAACTTGTGCAAATTTCATTCTTCAGATTCTTCCCAGTTTTTCCCAAGGCCCATCACAGGCAGAAATTGCAAGTTCTGGGAAAACAAGTTACATTGCAACTGAGACATGTCATTTCTATGGAAGGTTTGCACAAACTCTCCTTCAAGGGGGCATCTGATATTTGCTTGGTTGTGCAAGACACCCTCTATGTGTATGCAGAGGAACTTTCATTCTCATGTAACATATTCTGTAACAATACATTCCCAGTCTAAAATGTGATCCTTTTGAAATATCAGCCTAGAAGAAATAAACAGACCTGATGGTGAAAGAACTTACCTAGTGCAGGCTCTGCACACTCCTTATACTGCTCCGGTGTACAAAATGGAGCATCCCCTGTATATATAAAAAAATGGAGTCATTTTTATTTAAAGCTTAGAAATGATGGCTTTCTTTCTAAAATGCTTAAGAAAAGCAGTCTCAGGTTTCAGTCATATAGTGGCAAACAAAATTCCCAAGGGAAACATGGCAATTAGAGATTCCAGGGATGAGTATTGCATTCCTTGATTTTTTTTCTTCCTTTGTTGGCACTGTCACAATAATATAATGGAAGAAGATGGGTGCATATGTTTTCTTGTTTTCTCCTTTCTCAAAATGATTGGATTCCTAATGGTCTACAACTGTTTGGTGAGTTTTCAGCATTATGATTTGAATTAGGAAAGCATGAAGTGCATTCAGTGTGTCTGCGAAACTTAAGCTACCCTGTTTATAGAGATCTGGAGATGTAGGTATGCATGAGTGTAAATATGTGCATGACTGTGTGCAACAATTTTCATGCATCCATGCATATGAACAGCCACAATTAACATCCATCTGTGAAATCAAAGACTACTGTTAGAAAGTTATCTGCATCATCTCCTAAATGCTTATCAAAAATAAATCCCATCAAATTCATTAAACTTGCTGTGGAATAAATGTTTTCAATTTGATTTTTTAAAAATGATTTTAAAAACTGGACACTACGGTAGGGGGACTTAAAGATTACAAGTAAAGGAGAAGAACATATAAACTCAATTTAAAATTATAGAACATTGGATATATTGAAGGATATTTTTGTTATATATCTTGAGAATCGCTTGTGAGGTGGATGGTTATATAAATTAGATAAAATTTGGTAAATTATATTGAATTAGATAATTGAGATAAATAAATATTTTTGAACAATGGTCTTAGAAGTTAGTTTTAATAGTGTCAACAGAGACATTTGCTTCTAGGGAGATTGTGTCTAAGAGATGTTATGGAAGAAGAACAAATTCTACTTGACAAGATTGAGACTGAGAATGATAAGAAGAAAGATGTTACACTGGACATAAAAAAGCAACCAGTTTATGTGTTAATAATTAAAAGGAATATGCAAACAATAAACCAGGAGAGAGACCTGGATAATTTTCCTGTATTGGTTTTACAAAAGAGTTTTGCTAAAGTTTTTAAGAATCCCGTGAGAAAGAAAAAAAAAGAATTAAAAAAATTCTATGACATTATTTCAATGAACTAAAGATTAAAATTGTTAGAAGTGAAAGGAAGGAATATAAAGTTGGTTTATTTGATCAAGATCAAAATAGATACATTATTTCTGATAGCCTTTAATGGACTTTTTCTGACATCAGGATTGGAAAGTCCACCTTTTATGGTTTTGTTTATAGGTAAGAGATGGGATATAGGAAGAGGAGATCATTTGTTGTATTTTAAAAGGAGCTGATCATTTACTAATATTGTTTATAGTTGTTGTGATGAAGTAGATAATCACTTATGCATTTCTCTTCTTTTTATATATTCTTCCTTTTTTATTTCTCTTCCTATTTTTCCCTTTTCTTCTTTTCTATATTTTCTACTTGTTTCTTTTTATTCTTATTTTTTTTAGTGTGTATCAGTTTTTACTGCTGTAATTTATAATCTCTAATACAGTTACTATTAAAAATGAATTCATTAGGGCTTACCCTTAAGTGTGCAGCTTTAAAGCATGCAGATTTACACAAAAACAGTGTTTTTGCCTCTTTGTCTCTAAAAAAATAAATAAAATGAACGCAGGAAAAGATTTGAAATAAAAAATCAGGCACATATTTTGAAAGCTCTGTAATTATTGGATATAAAAGCTCTTTATATCTAGCTATAAAGGTTTATTCCAATTACTTCAGATTGGAAAACAAACCTCTATTATTAATACACTAGTATTTTGAGGAACATAACATTATTAACAGTAGAAACCACCTCTGAGTGATTAAGGTTTGTATTCTTTGCGCTGCGCCTTAGAGAGCCATCTGACTTGGTTACTGAAAATAGCCCTTGTAAGTGATAACCTGAATGTAAGATTTACTAATTCAAAGAAGAGATTGAAGGATGGATGCAAGCCAAACCACAATTACCTCTAGAGCCACTTATCCTCCAGATAAGTTGGAGAGTTCAAATATAGTTTCTACATGGATTCTGTGTTCTGGCAGAACTCATTTCAAAAGACATACCTGGCATATGAACCATTTTGCAATTGCAATTCTCTACCACGTAGCGAGTCTCACAACTGATCCTGCATGCAGTGATGCTATAGATGGGGAAAAACTCCAGGCCGAAATCTGATGAGTGGCACTCACCCCATGGTGGTGGAAGGTATGTCAGCTGTAAGAAAAAGGCAGAGAACTGGGTGGCAAATAATGGCATTTGTTCCTAACTATAACAATTCTAGACACTCAGAATTAAGTAAAGGTATGCATTTCAGCTTTGCACTGTTGGCAAAATAGTTTAATTTCACCTGGACTTATTCATTCATTTTATTATTCTGATCGCACAGTACTGAATTTCTCTGGGTGATGTTAAAAAATGCAGACAAAAAAATAATATAAAAGAAACAGATGTTTTAAAAAGCCAATCGTAATGATAAAAACAACATAGATAATATGGCTCTTTCTTTTCCGGCCACTTTCTCTGATTTGCTATATATGCACGGATAGTGTTTCTCAAACTTTTTGTAATTGTGGATATTCTAAGAAACACCACCTTCTCTATGTTTTTGCTATTAGGAGCATGGGAATTTGAATTTTTGATGAGAAGGATCATGACTATGGTTGCATTTGTGTAGATCTGGCTTTCTCCCTTTTAAAAATTATTTTTAAATTAAATTTTTGTATCCCATATACAAATCTGTTAGTATCAACTGAATTATTTTATGTACCCCATCCCTTAACAAAATTCTGCAAACTCAAAGTTCCCCAACCAAAATCTCTAGGTATCAAGGAGTGCAGAGAAAGTTCACTCAGTAAACCTATCTTTATTCTTGCTAACCAAAAAGAAAATGAAAAATAAATGATGTAAAGGAAGTCAGGATTATGCCGGCCTGCCAGAAAACTATGCCGATCTTCAGACAATGAACAGAACATGATCCAGTCTGGTGTGGGGAAAGGAGCAGACAAAAGTAAGATGGAGCTTGAGAATGGCTTGAATACAGTCAAAGACGCTGAAAAGAAATTAAGGAAAAAAAACACCACCATGCATCCCCAGGTGAGAAACATTTGGACAGCTTTGGAAAACACCCAAATACTTTATTTTAAGCTCCCACCCCAACCTGTCAAGACACTCAGCCGAGTGTAAGTAATCTTCCTAATGCCCAAAAAATGACAGAGCGTGAGGGGAAAGCAGAAATCCATATACATATAGAAACAATACATAAGCATCTACCACTAATTATACTACACGTACACAGAGAGAGGTCTGGAAAGAAGAGGCCAGAACAAGACAAGATGATGATACAAGTCCCTGTCCCACATCACCATAAGGGACAGGCTGTAAACTGGAATATTATCTGTACCATCTTGCTTCCACTTATGCCTGGATGTGGTTCTGTTTGCACATATCCTGATTAATCCCTGGAGAGAAAGTTGCCTATACAAATGCAAAGACTTAATAAGTTTCTTTGTGTGGGTTGAAGCCATACTCTGCTTGTTTCTCCTGTCAGGATAAATCAGTGGAAATTACATAAAAGGATTCAGGATCCTATCAATCTCAAAAACTCATTGAATCATAAGATTGGAAGGGACTTTGGAGGTCTTCTAGACCAATGATATCAGATTTGAAGTAAGGATGAACAAAAAAACTAGAAAAAGAAATACCAAATTCAAAAATGGGCCAAGGGCTACTGGGAAATTTAATCAGCTCATCCCTAAAATAGAGGCAGTTGAGTGGCACTAAGAAAGTTGATGACTGTTTTTTTTCTAAATCCTTTTCCTTTCTGGTTAAATGACCCCAGTGGTGAAACCTGAATCGGTTTACTACCGTTTCTCTGGCTGCGCATGTGTGCAGCATGCCAAACATGCACTGTGTGCACGCATGCACAGTGCACATCAGGCACCAAATGCGAGGTGCACATGCACGCAATGCACACCAAAAAGAGGCATGGGGTAAGTAGAACAGCGTGTGCGTGGGGGGTGATGAGCTGTGGCGCGCAATCTTTTTTTTACTTTTAAAAGCTTTTTTTTACAACCTATTCGGGCGAATAGGTGTAAAAAACGCTTTTAAAAGTTTAAAAAAAGGCTCTGACGATTGCGCAGCTCAGCTGTGATTGTCAGAGTCTTTTTTTTTACTTTTAAAAGCAAAAAAACAAAACCTTCTGTGCATGCGCAGAGGGTACAAAACACATTACTTCCTGGTTAAAACCAGGAAGTAATGACAACTAGGCGGGTGGGCGGAGCCTTGTGCCACGATCGCTACCGGTTCTCCAAATCACCTGCTACGATTGCTATCGGATTGGACGATCTGGTCCGAACCGGAAGCATTTCACCCCTGAAAGACCCTGAACGAAGTACACGCAGCTTATCACTGGTGCACACATACACTTTTTAGGACTGTAGGTCACTCCAGAATAGAACAAATTCCATTCAGTCACACAAGTGAGCATTCCAGAGAGCATTTTATTTATTACAATAAGCAAAGAAATGAAGGAAGACAAAAGAAAAATAATCTATAAAAAGCATGCATGTCCCATATGCGAATCAAAGCCATTTTAAATGTATATTCTGTTATATAATTAAATTATTGATATTTAGTTCAATAGCTGTGGAAAATAAATTGGAAATGAAATTTTTAATTGGCATATGCATCACCCAGTTAGGATTCCCAGTCATAAAACACTTATTTGAATATAGAAAGAGAAGTACATTCTTCACTCCATTGGGCAATTGGTGGTAAATGGGCATTCTCCCACCCCTGTACCATTAATTATTTTCCAATAATAAAAATGCCCAATATCCATTTCAACTGACCTCTTAGCTTCCAAATTACTGGTATATATTTGAATGGAACATGAGATTACAAAAATCAGTGAGTTTTCTGGAACATAATTAATATGTGAAATAACTTTTCTCTGAAAAGAAATCACTGCAGCATAAGATCACATCAAATGAGCCAATGTAGCATTCTAAGTATCATATTTCCATAATTAGCTGAACCTATCAATTTTTTTTCTTGAAAAGATTTGCAATAGCCATTAAATAATAATTTTTGTTAAATTAATCATCATTTAAAATTTGAAAGTCACATAAATGTGTCATAGAGATGACAAATGCTCTTGCTCTGACATTTATTTACTGGACACCCCAATTCCATATTCTAACTTTAAAGAAAAGTTAACAAAATGAAAAATAGCAACCTAAGGTAGTCCGAAAATCATTTTTGTATATACCTGAATTTCAGAAGAAGATTTTCCTTCTGTTAATTTAACCTTCCCAATATGGTATATATCAGCGGTGGGTTTCAACAGGTTCTGACCAATTCCGGAGAACTGGTAGCGGAAATTTTGAGTAGTTCGGAGAACCGGTAGTAAAAATTCTGACTGGCCCCGCCCCCATCTATTCTCTGCCTCCCAAGTCTCAGCTGACTGGGAGGAAATGGGAATTTTGCAGTAACCTTCCCCTGGAGTGGGGTGGAAATGGGGATTTTACAGTATCCTTCCCCTGCCATGCCCACCAAGCCACGCCCACCAAGCCATGCCACACCCACCAAGCCACACCCACAGAACTGGTAGTAAAAAATTTTGTAACCCACCACTGGTATATATGTTGAAGACTTCTAGGCTCATTTTTTTTTTTTTTTTACTGATGCTATTCTGCCCATAAGTGACAACTGTAATTTGTTCCATATTTCCAGATCCTTTTTAATTTGTTTCATTAATTTCATATAGTTATCCTCTCTAATTGTTGTTGCTTTTGTAGTGATCCAAATTCCTTTACAATCTGTACTCCTAATTCTTCTTCCAATTTTGTCTTTTGTATCTTAGTCAGATTTTTTGTCAAGACTTTAGTTTTTTGTCTATTAATTTTAAGTCCCGCTACTTTGCCATATTCTTCTATCTTCGCCAGTAATTTAGTTCCTACTATTTCTGGTTATTGTACTATGAACGTCGTCGGCGAAGGCCTGTAGTTTATATTCCTCATTTCGTATCCGTAGTCCCTTTATGTCCTCATCCTTTCTTACCTTGTTTAGTAAGGCTTCCAGCGATATTATGAATAGTAAGGGGGAGAGTGGGCAGCCTTGTCTCACCCCTTTTTGTTTGTCCAGTCTTTCTGTCATATCCCCATTAATTGTGATTCTTGCAGTCTGAGAGGAGTATACTTTCTTAATCATTTTTAAAAATTTGTCGCCAACATCCATTAACTCTAATTGTACTATGAATTTCCAATTCAAATTGTCGAATGCCTTTTGCGCATTGAGAAAGATTAAGGCTACCTGTTTATCAATTTGTTGTTCATAATATTCTAGAATGTTTATGATTGTTCTCATGTTGTTTTTTACCTGCCTCCTTGGGACAAAGCCGTTTTGATCAGAATGTATATAGTTGTGTATAATTGTTTTCAATCTTTGCGCCATAATTGTCATGAATAATTTATAGTCAACGTTTAGTAGTGAAATCGGTCTATAATTCTTAACCTGTGTCCGGTCTATGTCTTCTTTAGGGATAAGTGAAATGATGGTTTAGTTCCAAGATTTAGGGGTTTCTGCTTCTAGTAATGCATCATTAAGGACTTGGAGGAGTACTTCATCTATCGCTGACTGGCAGTTTTTATAAAATTCAGTTGGAATTCCATCTGGGCCTGGTACCTTATTGTTCTTCTGTTTCTTCTGGGCTTCCATCAACTCTTTCACTGTAATTGGTTTATTTGATATGTCTTTATGTGTTTCCTTGAATTTTGAGATATTTGCTTCACATAGGTATTCCTTGATATCTCCGTCTTGGATCTCCTCTTGTGAGTAAAGTTTTTGATAGAATTCCTTAACTATACGTTTTTTATCTGAATTCGTGTTGCATATTTGTCCCGTTTCATCTTGAGAAGAGAATATATATATCTTCTCCCTCTCTTTTTTCAATCAATACACTAACCAGCGACCTGTTTTGTTTGCGTATTGAAAATGTTTCTGTTTTGCCATTTTCATTTTCTGTGCAATTTCTGTTTGCATGATTAAATTCAGTTTATGTTTGGTGAGGTTCAGGTTTGCCTTTATTGTTTTATCATTAGGTTGTTTTTGTAACTGTGATTCATATCTGTTGAGTTCTTGCAGTAAATTATTCCTTTTTAGTTGTTTGTCCTTATTTTATTTTATTTTTTTGTATATGCTATGGTGAGGCCTCT